AGAAAAAAGCCGGAAGTGGTGTTGTGGCTCAAGTGATAGAACGCTAGCCTTGAGCTGAAGAGCTGAGGGACAGCACCCAGGCCCAGAGTTCAGGCCCCAGGACCAGACCATCCCCCCCCCCAAAAAAAAAAGAGTCTCATGGACTCTCCTGCCCAGGCTGGCTTTGAACCGCAATCCTCAGATCTCAGCCTCCTGAGTAGCTAGGATTACAGGAGTGAGCCACCGGTGCCCGGCAACATAAAGCCTTCTTATACATTAGTGCCATAAGGATGATGGCAAGCTTCCCACACCTCCATATGTCTTAGCAGTGAGGAATTACCTGAGGTGTCTTGGAACACAAATTCTCTTAGTACATTCCTTTACCCTTCACCCTTCACTTTTCACCCATGTTGTCTATCTGCCTTTTTTTTTTCCCATTATTTTCCCACATGACTTTGTTACTGAAAAAATTTTGTGAAATTGACACGGGATAATAGAGTAGCAGTGAAACAATGTAGTATGATAGTAGCCCAGTGATTGTTATAGTGAAACATGGGAGGCCTGAATCAGAGTTAGTGTAAATGAGCGGAAGGTCTGGGTCAAGACCAAAAGAATTAGGTATGTCTCTCAGAGTACATTTTCTATGAGGGATAGCTTATAAGTTTTAAAGATGATACATTTGAGAGTCTCATATCTGATCAACTTAGAACGATCACTGTGAAATGTGGTTTGAAACTTCTTTGAGATAAATGATAAAGCAAAGTCTTTTTCTTTTGTTTGTTTGTGTGTGTGTGTGTGTGTGTGTGTGTGTAAAGGAGTTTGTGCGTGCACTGGTCCTGGGGCTTCAACTTAGGGCCTAGGTGGCTGTCCCTGAACTTTTGTGCTTAAGGTGAGCTACCAATGGCCCTGCCTTTCCCATTGAACTTCTCCAAATTTTCCCTATCCTGCACAGTTTTCCTACTATATACAAGTTCACTGAAACCACTTTTCTGGGTTTTTAAAACTTGTGATTTTAGGAACATTGAATCACATATTTCACCTGTGAATAGGAGCTGCAGTTGCCTCCCAAAGTGTGAGGAAGATGCTCAGATTAGCAGTGCTTCTCATTTCTTCATTGCTATATGTAGGGAGCCACTGAGTTAATCATGCAATGCCATGCTTTTATTTCAACTTTTTTAAAAGGTGTTCTTTCTATCCATAGCTCCAAAAGGAATTCTTCATCTGTCTCCTGATGTTTATCAAGAGATGGAAGCCAGCCGCCACAAAGTGATCTCTGGCACTACTCTAGGATATTTGTCACCCAAGGATATGAACCAGCCTTCAAGCTCTTTCTTCAGTATATCTCCCACATCGAATAGCTCAGCCACCATTGCCAGGGAACTCCTTATGAATGGAACATCACCTACAGCCGAAGCCATAGGTTTAAAAGGAAGTTCTCCTCCCCCTTGTTCTCCAGTACAGCCTTCAAAACAACTGGAATATTTAGCAAGGATTCAAGGCTTTCAGGTATGAATTAAAAGAGCAAGAATAAAAGAAAAAGCAAAACAATTCATTAGCCCCCAATCCTTCATCTCTACTCATGAGAAGGCTCATTCTTGCCTGCTAGTATGGCCTACATGCCACTTACATTGTAAATTATTTAGAAACACAGAAGACAGAAAAAAAGAGAGCCACATGCATATGCCTCATTTTCTCATTTTCTGTCTCAAGTAATTCTTCTCTTGCCTGACTCTCCTCCATTTTCCTTATCCTTTATTTTTTTTAAATTTCATATTCTGGTTTGTCTTCCAGTTGGTTTTGATTGAGTGCATCTATCTCCTCACTCTGTCTTCCACAAACAAAAATTTTTTGCCTTGAGACATTTGGTGTTAGTAATTTACACTCACTTCTCCCTCTTTTTACACCAGGGTTGAGTTTTTCTAATGATGATTTTTCTTTCAAAGCAGTTTTGAATTTTGAATTATTGTGAGTACTGATTCAGGTACACAAGTAAGGTACAGCACCCTACCTTAAAAGTCTGTTACCTTAGCAGTTAATTAAACATGGTCTTTGAACAATAATGAAGTGCTTACTATTTGAGGCATAACCGTATGTATTTGTTTTTCTGGATCATGTTTTGGAACTATCTAGGTAGAATAGCAACTGCTTCAACTATTTCACTGGGTAGCCGTTTACGCTTACAGTTTAACTTCATTTGTGCATATAAATTTAGGGATGGAAGGCCCCTACCCTCATTTATTCTTTGTTCCCTTTTGGAAGGAAAAAACCTATAAAAACCAACATTCCTTTATGGATATTTCATAGCTTTTAAAAGAATTGTTAACACTAGGAAGGGGAAATAAATGTGTCTTGATTTCTTAGTTGCCTTGAAGATCATGTACTGAATTGTAACCACCAACTGACTGATGACTTGCAGCTTGCTTGTGTGTAGAAAGATACTGCTCCCCAGATTTCACTGTTCTCACCCCTTTACCATCTTAGTCTTATTCCTGAAGACCAAAAACTGTAATTTCCTTTAGAAATGCTCTAGAAGATCTGTATTGTGTAGAATGATCATGTATTCATAAACATTTTACAAGTTTAGATTATAAAATGAGAAAGATCATGTTTTTTTTTGGGGGGGGGGCGTATTTTGCATGTTTGGTTTTGTCTTTTTCCTTCACAGAATCCTTCTGATCCTTTCCATCTATTGCGAGGTAGTTGTCAGTGTTTTTAATTGAACTATTAATATGAAATTAAAGAAGCTGTTACCAATTATTGGCTCTGTCATCTGAAATTTTAAATGCTTAATTTCAAGTTACAATTTTAGAATTTGTTTTTTGTTGTTTATCTTAAGAATCACAATAAATCACTGTTAAAATATGACATTGATTCATATATAGTATTAGAATAAAAGTTAAATAATATTTAGTTCTATCAGTTATCCACATAGGATAAATTAGAAATAAACTAATGGAAAGAAATTCATTGCTTACTTATAAATTTAGTCATTTAGAAATACCCAAGCATAACATTTTTATAGATACAAAGCACAAATTGCATTCAAGTTCTGAATTGATTTTTCTTTTTGGCTTAGATACATTATAACAGATATAATTTTGCTTCTGGAAGAACTTAAGTTTTAGAATTTATTTGTTAGTCCTTGGAAATAATAGATATGATTTTTAACATATCTCCACTTTAACCAATATGTAGTCTGCTACCCTCATTACTGAGCTGTCTGCTTAGATCTCTTTTAAAGGCTTGTGCTGTTAATATACTTTTCTTTATGGACAAGTTAAACATTTTCCAGATCTGTGTACTGTGATTTTACATATTAATGAATGTAAACAGTTGGTTTTAAAACCTTACTGCTTCTTTGGTTGAATGAACTGGTATGGTGTGGAATATTTTGGTGGTGGTGGTTCACCACCTATAACCAGGCAGTGAGCAAGTCTCTATGGGAAGTGCCTGGTGTCTTTTCTCATACCTAGCTCATCTGAAGCATGTCACAGTGGAAGGTTCTTTGTGGCTGAGAGTTTAAAGCCTGTTTTCTTCTAGATAACTTTCTCAGGTATATATACCTGAGAAAAGTATGTAGATGGTTTTTATTTCTTAAACATTTTGATTAGACTGTGGTCTAGAAATTACAGGATCAGCTTATTATTGGTTTTATCCTATTCTGTTACTTTTTTTCTGAAATTTGAAAACAATAAATTCTTTTGCTTTGTTTCTAGGTTAGTTCCTTTTATTTTGTTGCACAATGAAAAGATATTATTGCTTACTGACTATTGTGTAAACCTTTCTCTGGCCTTCATTGCCCATTGCAGTTTGATTTACACTAAATCAAGCTGTTGTATGTGACAATTATACTGTATTACTAAGTAAAACTATGTGAGTATGTGAAAAACAAGTTCTTTTTTCCCCTGAAACGGAGACTTGAACCCAGTATCTGACACTTTCACTCATGGCTGGCGCTCTACCACCTAAGCCATACTGCCAATCTCAACTTTTAATTGAAATTTACAAATTAGGAAAAACTAGTTTGTTCATCAGAAAATAGGCATTAAGTTTATATCCTTTTGTTTAAATCTATAAGATTATTATCCAATTAAAATTACTATAAACAAAGCTGATTTTACAGAGCCAAAAGTGATTGAACATTTTTCACAGTCTCAGAGTGTGAGTGTGAGTGTGTGTGTGTGTGTGTGTGTGTGTGTGTGTGTGTCTTGAGGTCAGGGCCTGGGCACTATCCCTGCACTTTTTTACTCAAGGATAGTACTCTACCACTTTAGCCACAACTCTACTTCTGTGTTTTGTTGTTGTTATTTGTGGTTAATTGGAGATAAGAGTCTCACAGACTTTCCTGCCTGGGCTGGCTTCAAACCACAGTCCTGAGATCTCAGCCTCCTGAGTGGTTAGGATTATAGGTATGAGCCACTAGTGCTGGCTCTCACCTAAAGATTTTTATCATTAGAGAAGCAAATCTTACAGACTCTTGTCCTAAATGAGTATCTGTTTCTTAGTGTCATTAAGTGTATTTTAATTATCTTTTGTTGAAACCTGAACATCTTATTGATTCATTACTATTTGGAAATTTTTCATAGTTTTGAAAACCTGATATATCTAGCAGTCAATTTCCTCCTATTACTTCACTACATTTCAAAAACTCATTCAAATCTTGTCATGCCACGAGTTTCTAGATTCTTATAAATGTTGATACTCTTCTGCAGTGTTTCAAAATCATCTTTTTAAAAATTAAATTTATTTTAAACTTATTTTTAAATAATTATATATATACAACTAATACATAATTGCATATCAAATAGATGTAATTAATATACATATAAATTATGTAACATGAACATATTAATTTCATAACACATATTAATGAGGTAAAATGATGTTTTGGTACATACATGTTGTGTATTTTTTAATATTTTATTTTAGTGTAAAGATGCTGCACAGAAGGGTTACAGTTACATGAGTAAGGCAATGAGTACATGACTTGCCCATCATTGTTACCCCTTCCCTTATTGTTGTTCCACTATCCCTTTCCTCCCCTCCCCACAGTCTCCCCCTCCTAAGTTGTAAAGTTAGTTTGCAATATATTGTCCTGTGGGTGTCGTTGTTGCAATGGGTCATCCTGTGTCCTTGTTATTCCCCTTCCCCTCTCCAGATTAGACAAATATATATACAAGATGCAGAGTACCAAAAGCAAGTACAGTGACAACAGGAGAAATATATGTTGTGTAATGTTTAAATTGGGGTAAGCATATCTTCTAAGAATTCATGATGAAAGAGGTAAACAAATCCTTTGTTAGTACATTTTGAAATATACAGTTGTACTCATGCACAGAGAAAAATTATATTTTTATTATCTTTGAGTAGTTGTACAAAGGGATTACCATTCAACAAATTGGTTTATAAGTAGAATGCATCTTGGTCAATATCACACCTTTCATCATTCTCTTCCCCATCCCTCCCAACCCAAAATCGTGTGTGTGTGTGTGTGTGTGTGTGTGTGTGTGTGTGTGTCCTTTTTGAACTCAGGGTCTGAGTGCTGTTTCTGAGCTTTCGTGCTCAAGGTTAATGTTCTAACACATGAATTACACTTTTATTTTGGGCTTTTTGCTGGTTAATTAGAGATAGAGTCTCACAGGCTTTCTGGCCTGAGCTGGGTTGGAACCTCAATCTACAGATCTCAGTCTCCTCATGAATAGCTAAGATTATAGGCATGAAGCCCTTCTCCCAGATGTACCAGAAATCTTTTATAAGTAGTAAATGAGTCAGTAGGAAAATCATACTAAAAATAAAATTGCAATAGTTTGGTAAGTTATCATTTGTAGATAGATTTCATTACATTTTATAATTTTGTATCTTCCATATGATTGTCATCCATTGAATGGTGTCATTTGTGAAACTGGTAGGTTAAAATGATATACTAAGGTTTTTTCTCACATAAATAATCTGAAGAAGCACTTACTTGGTGTTCTAGTTAAACTGTATTAATTTATTTTCCAAATTACTAAGTGTGTTTTGTGAGGGGATGCTTTCCATCATGTGAGTTTTAAATCATGGTTGGTGCCATTACAGCAAGATGAAAATATCTGCTTTCATTGAAAGCTTTCTTTTCAAATGTAATTCACACTTACTCTGTTTCAGTTGATAAATCTCCTTTTGTAAAGTTGTTATGGGTTTGATATGATTATAGCAGGCTACTTTTATAGTTATGGGCTTCTTTTTAACATTTTATTTTTAACAGTTTGACCTCAGTGCAGGTTACTGACATGAGGTAGGTGAGAGGGGTAAGCTACCTTTTCTCTTCTTTCTCATTTTTCCTATACTTCCTGTTTTGTAATGTATATGTTTATCATTAAGCAGGCCATTTGCAGTTTTTTTTTTAAAGAACTGAAGTATCTGTTCTTTTAGAAGACTATAACTAGTGCAACTTCATAGATTGCCAGTATGAGATTGTGGAGAAAGAAATAATTTATATATATATGTGCATGTATACATGCATGCAC